CCCACCTATTTTCCTTCTTATTCCCCCTCCCAACAACACTCTATCCATACCTGTTTACCGGTTTTTTTTTTTTTACCGAACATGTCCTCCCACGATACCACTCTTGCCTCTGAGAACGAGAATCCATCAACTATTTCAACACCCAAGACATCTGATCCTGCCTTTGATACTCGCTTAAACCATCTTCTACAATCTCATGCATTTGATCATGACAAATTTCCACGTTCCAAACGCCACGGTGTTCGTCCCATGCTTCAACGGTGGAATATCCAGCAGGCTGGCATTCAGACTCTCAGTAGCCCGCTCAATTTCAACGATTTAAAACTGCTGAAAAATACTCGAACACTTTCTGTTCACCAACCTCACCTTGTTTCAACTTTTCGATTCGTTCCTTCCCACCCTAACGGCCAGCACCATTGTCTCAGAGACAACAACGGCAACATTCTTGCCTACCGTTTCCGATATCCCGAACATCTCCTCTACAAATTACGAGATAGTTTCCAACTTTTACCTTCTGGTCACGTTAACGATACCATTCGTGGCAACTTCCCTCATCGCCACTATGCCCTCTGGGCTGACTATAGTCAAGATATAATGCAAAGTCGTGAATATTGTCACGATCATCCTGCTTCTCAAACCTGGCTTGATGCCAATAAAGAGCTCTTCGATTACGTTTCTCATAATCTTCGAATGATTAATCCAGAAATGTATATGCTGTTTACCAGTATTGACCAATATCTGCCGGATAATTTTACCCGAATGGCTGGAGCATGGCATGGTGTGGCTATTAATGAGTGTATGGTTCCAAACGGTACTAACCTAGAGACCCATGTTGATTGGAAGGATATTAATTATGGATATAATGCTGTACTTCCGTGGGGTGACTTTGGTGGTGGTAACTTGATTTTTTGGCAAGCAAGAATTGTTTATGAGGTGCGTCCGGGTGATTGTCTTTTCTTTATGGGTTCTGTTATTGCACATGGGGTTTCAGAAATTACTAGTGGAGAAAGATACTCCGTGGATTTGTTTTGTCATAAAAGTGCGATAGATTGGAAAAAGCGTAAGGATCTGGAAGCTTAGATTGTTTATCAATATAACTATTATTTTCTTATCTTTTTTCTTTAATTATATTAATTGTCTTTCACTATAATCCTTTTAGTGTCTGTTTGACGGGAATGGAAGGATTCCGTTCCCCGATACAAATGACTATTTCCTTCCGTTCTGAAGATGCTAAGACAACTATTTCCCCAGCAAAAATCGTCAATAAACGGAACAGTTGACCCACCTACCATTCCCGCCAAACAGGTCCTTATCTCTCTGCATGCTTGATTTCATACTATTTTTTACTCATTTAAACTAATTTTGTAACTTTTTTTACTCTTTTTTACATGTTTACTTTTTTTTCACTATCAAATATTTTATCATTAACGAATACTCTATATTAAAATAGCCTATATTTTTATTTTTCTTCATTTTCTATTATCTTTTATCCGTTCAACTTCTTTTAAATTCTTGTTCTCTTTCCCTTATCTGTGTTCTTCCAATATTTCCCAGTCATACCTGTTTGCTAATATTAGTATTCTTTACTTTATTATGCCTCAATATGATTGGGAACCTCATCGCCAGCAACTCTATGATCTTTATATTACTGAAAATAATTCCTTAAATCAGGTACGTTTACATATGGAAAATGAACATAACTTTACACCAAGGTAATATTTATTTAATTTTATCTAATATTTCTGATTATCGAATGTACTTTTTCTAACTTTTATTCTCTTATTATAGTAATCGAGCATATAAGGATAAGTTTCTTGAATGGAGTTTTACGAAACGACAGGCTGCTCTATACAAAGATATAGAACTTGTTGACCGTGTTCGTTCATTTTGGTTAAGAAATATGTCATCCACAACTATGATTCGCTGCTTAGGTCAAGAGGGCTGGCAACTTTCTGCACTACAATTACGCAATCTTCGTCTTCATCCTACATTACGTTTACTTATGGGAACTAGCAATTCTCTTGAAGCTCGGACAAAAGCTATGGAAGATGCACAGTTAAGGGTTCAAGAACACTTAATCTCTGAA